ATAAAATATATTATATATAGATATTCTATCTATGTATGTTTCTCTACATAGACGGAGTATGAATTCTGGCAATCATTGCCATAAAGTAGATCAGTCTGAACGATGGGTGATTAACGCACTGCCATTTTAATTAGGCCTGACAATATGTTTTCCTTACCAGGCCAGCGACCCCAGCACCTATGAGCTAATCCAGAAGATACACACTCTGCAGAAACGTCTCATTAGCAAAACCGAGGAGGTGGTGGAGAAGGAGCTGCTCCTACAGGTAAGAACGTTGTTATATTCGGCCGATGAGTGCTCTTTATCCGCTCTGTCTGGATCAAGCAATCATGGCTGAATTCTGCTCATTACCGGCAGCGCGGATCAGTACGTTTTGGGTCTTCTAGCTAAATGGCATTGATATCCTCACATCTCAGCTCTATTAGAGGCTCTTTGTCAGCTATCGCTGTGCCCCCCTATCATGGAACTAGCTGCCTCCCTTTGACAAGTAAAGATTTCTTCCCTTGATGCCACACAGTGAACTGAAAGCTTTTTAATGTAAGGGCCGCCGCAGCCATAAATTATATTTCTTATTTTGGTAAAAAAAAAAAAGGACCTGACAGTTTTTGTCATATCTCTTGGAGACAGCGCTCCATTTTAAACTTTTTAGAGTAAAAGTCCTTCCTAAGAGCAGGCATTGCAAGATACACTATATGGCTAAATGCTTCCGGACACCTGGTTGTGAAGCCTAACATCTGGCCAAAAGAATATAGACCACCTCCACGTGATTTAGTTTAGGTGTTTCCAGTGAAAAGTACTGTTAATACCAGGGATGCACCGATACAGACACCTATATAGGCTCTTGATGCCTATCCTGATGCCGGAACTTCCGGTATCAGGAAGCCAGGTGGCGAATCATTAAACGCCGCCCGGCTTCCTGATTGGCCGGGAAGCCGGCTCCATGCTCCCTCGTCACCAGGGAGCATGGAGCTGGCTTCTCAGCCAATCAGGAAGCCGGGGGTGTGCAATGACTCGCCGCCCAGGTTCCTGAGTGGTTGGGAAGCTGGGCGGCGAGTCATGACCCACCTCCCCGGCTTCCTGATTGGCCAGAAAGCCGTTTCCATGCTTCCTTGTCACCTGGTGTACTGACTTGCTGCCCGGTTTCCTTGATTGGTCGGGAAGCTGGCCAATCAGGAAGCCAGGCGGTGAGTCATTACCTGCCCCCCCTGGCTTCCTGATTGGCCAGCAGCAGGCTTCATGCTTCCTTTTCACCTGGTGACAAGGGAACATGAAGATGGCTTCCTGGCTAATCGGGAAGTTGGGTGGCAAGTCATTACATGCCATTCCTTAATGGGACTTCCAGTATCGGCATTCGGTATCGGCGAGTACGTAAAAAAATTATCGGTACTTGTACTTGATACTGAAAAAACGGTATCGGTGCATCCCTAGTTAATACTACAGCATATATAGATATTTTAGACAGTTGTGGGCATCCAGCCTTGTGGTAACAATTTGGGAAAGGCCCTTTCCTGTTCCAGGATGACTGTGCCCCCATGCACAGAACCCGCTCCATAAAGACATGTTTTGATCAGTTTGGTGTGGTCCAGCCATTCTCAACCAGGTGTCCGTAGAACCCTAGGGTTCCTCCAGAGGTTGCTAGGGATTCCTTGAGCTGCGGCTGATTGACCTCCAATGTGATGTTGACTGCAAAGTTTTCTTTCTGGCTCAGATAAGTGTGCAGTACTGAACAGCGAGTTTGTTCCTTGATAGAAAAGGAGATATAAAATCAGGAAAGTGGGGAATTTCAGTTTTTGTCTCAACTTCATTTAGTGGAAAATCACTTGAACTGAGCTGCCCCCATACCAACCTTTCTCCATGGAGGGTGGCTTCCTATTTTGTCATAACCGCAACCTGCAGGGGGGATTCAATGGGAAAGGGCACAGAGAACACGGGAACCACGGAGAACACAGGAACCACGGAGAACACGGGTGCCACAGAGAACGTGGAGAACACAGGGACCCAGCAGATGAACTGAACATCAAGTTCCGTTGCAGATCTTTGGATTGCTGGATCCATCAGCAGATTATAGCATTCAGCTACCCCGAAAAAGAGGAACAGATGACCTTTTGAACAAGTTGCAAAATATGGTTGCACCGTCATAGGCACTTCTGACAGTCAGAATCCTCAAGACTCTGCATGGTCTGATTTTTTTCCTTCGTCATTGCAAGTGATGCTCAGTGACACCAGTATGGGAAGTCTGAGTGTAAAGGTTCATTAATAAAGAATTGTCTCTGCCCCCTTCTGTAATAAAGACTGCTCACTGCAGCTCTCTCTCCTTGTGCAGGATGACTGGTCTTGTCTCCGCCCCTCCTGTAATAACAACCAGTCACTGCTGCTCTCTTTTCTTGTGCAGGGTGACTGGTCTCATCTCCGCCCCCTCCTGTAATAAAGACTGCTCACTGCTGCTCTCTCTCCTTGTGCAGGGTGACTGGTCTTGTCTCCGCCCCCTCCTGTAATACAGACCGCTCGCTGCTGCTCTCTCCTTGTGCAGGGTGACTGGTCTTGTCTCCGCCCCCTCCTGTAATAAAGACCGGTCACTGCTGCTCTCTCTTCTTGTGCAGGGTAATTGGTCTTGTCTCTGCCCCCTCCTGTAATACAGACCGCTCGCTGCTGCTCTCTCCTTGTGCAGGGTGACTGGTCTTGTCTCCGCCCCCTCCTGTAATACAGACCGCTCACTGCTGCTCTCTCCTTGTGCAGGGTGGCTGGTCTTGTCTCCAGCCCCCTCCTGTAATACAGACCGCTCACTGCTGCTCTCTCCTTTTGCAGAGTGACTGGTCTTGTCTCCGCACCCTCATGTAATACAGACCGCTCACTGCTGCTCTCTCCTTGTGCAGGGTGACTGGTCTTGTCTCCGCCCCCTCCTGTAATACAGACCGCTCACTGCTGCTCTCCCCTTGTGCAGGGTGACTTTTCTTGTCTCTGCCACCTTCTGTAATAAAGACCGGTCACTGCTGCTCTCTCTCCTTATGCAGGGTCACTGGTCTTGTCTCCGCCCCCACCTGTAGTTTTCTGCATCCAGTCTGTAGCGGGTGGGAACTGCTGAGCCCCTCCCACAGCTCTGCTGTCTGCAAATACTATATACAGCACAGTGATGATGTCTCTGCTACATTTATATGGTAATATCTACGTTTTCTAAGGCACTTGGTGCACACAGAGTTGATTTATAACCTCTGTGGCTACTGCAGAATATATTTTAATGAAAGTTTTTGTGACTGCGTGAGTTTAGCTTTATAATAATAAAAAAAAAAATCTTTAAAGCTGAACATACAGTCAAAGGTAAAATCTGTACAGTGCAAGAGCAGCAGTTCCTCGGCCTGGAAGGTAATTACTATCTCTCACTCCGATATTCCTTTTGAAGTGTATGATCTTTTCAGGTCTGCGGGCTGCAGTTTGCAAACTTAGCAGTAGATGGCGATAAAGTTTAATAGATGAATCCTCCTTGGCTGAGCGGTCTTCTGTATGGAGCTGGCAGACTTTGAAATGAGATATCAGTACTCTCTATCAATTCTTATGCACACCCTTCCAAGGCTGGCACTCCGGCAGACTTAATTGTACCATTTAAGTCAGCGGGGATGTTGGCGAATGGTATTTTTGTTGTCTGTGTTTATTGATGTTCTATTTCCCACTAATAGATAATATTAAATGATTTCCTTTTTTTGTGGTCTGACTAGGACGAGATTGAGGGGGGAGCTGCAGATGTTCTTATCTAGAGGACAATGTCTCTTTGCAAATAAAAATGACACGCCGCTCTATAAAAACTGAGCTTGCTGAAAGCGGAATCGTTTTTAAGGTCCCAGTTTAAGTGCCGCTGTCACCCGTGGTGGTGGCCGTATTGCTCACAGAAGCCATTACTCATGACTAGGGTTGCTGAAATGACTAGGGTTGCTGAAATGACTAGGGTTGTTCGGGAAAGCGATCAAAATCATCCTGAGCATTCCGGATTCCATTCTCAAATGCTCGAAAGGAATATCTGTGATGCTCATGTTCATGTGCACAGAGTGTGGTGCAAAAAACGCACTAAAAGCTGCACAAGGTGCGTAAATATATGTGCATAGCGGCAGATTGTCACGCAGAGGTCTAGTTACATTGTTACATTTCTAAATCAGTACAGGTCTGGTTTATAATTTGGTATTGTATTGCCACCAAAATGATACAGAAGGCCACCCAAAGCGATGGAGTGGAGGTATGGATTAAGGAAACATTTCTAAAAAATGGTATGGGGTTCCCCTTAAAGGAGAACTATGAGGGGAGTGATTTTCACTCACCTCATAGTTCTAGCCGACCTGTGACAATGAGACTGTCACAGGTCGGCTCAGTAGATCGTTAGGTGAGCGAACACATACCGGCGTTCACTCACTTCTCGATCCTGTCACGGCTCTCTGACGTGATAGGGGAGGGGCTAGATTCCCCCCTCCCCGCTCCAATCCTCCAGCGCTGACTGGCGGAACGGACGGGGGAGGGGGCGGGTACAGCTGGCTCTGCCTCTAGATAGGAGGAGCCAGCTTTCACTCACACAGCTGTGCGGATCCAGACATAATTGTCGGGATCCGTCTCAGCTGCGGCGTCTCAGTATACCGCGAGCTGTAGTTCGTGGTATTCTGAGCTTGGGGTGACGGGAGGACGCTAGTTTGTGTCCTCCCGTTACCCTGAGGAGAACTATGGGGAAAAGCCCTAACCCCATAGTTCTCCTTTTAATATTTCAACAAGACCCTTATCCTTATGCCGCTCAGTTGACCTGGAAAGGAAGGGGAAGTGAACACGCTGCCCCCTTCCTGTAGCAGACCAAGCCATGTGAGGGCTGCCTAGCGAGGGGAAGATGTGGCAAAACCTCCTCCTCCCTGCAAAGTACCCTTGTTCCAATGTTGAGGAACAAGGACCTCTTCTTCACCTGCATGTGCCCCAAAAAGGAGGTGAGAGGTACTTATGGTGGAATGTGGAAGCCACCTTTATATTCAGGGTGCATCCACATATCTGCCCCCTTCCCAGGGGAGTGAGTACAGGGGTACTTCAGTACTCCTTCCCCATTCCCACAAAGAGTTAAAGGGGTTACTTTACATTTCCAATATAATGCACTGTGCAGGCAAGGGTGCCGTGTACTTTCAAAAACACTGTGCAGCTTTAAAATGTTAAGTTTAATTTAGATTGGGCTTGTCCCCAGCATGACAACCTCCTTCAAGACCTGCGCAGGTGCAGTGCGCTCTGCCGGTGTTGTACTCAGGCGCTGAG